ATATTTGGCAAAACTATACCCAAAATTTATAATTTTTCAGTTCAAAACCACATCAGGTTATAAAAGTATTAACCACTTTGGAAACCCTTTAACTTAGTAATACTGCTTTGTTTCCAATCAAGCAAGCCATCTGAAATAATGACTGAACTTTCTCAGGTTACTGTGCTGACTAAAGATGGCCCATACTTAATCTACATAATGTCCATGTATATTTTATTCATTGAAGTTTAAAAATATTAAGCTACACATATATAGTGTATCCAAATTATAAACACAGAGATTAAAATAAGAAAGTTGCAATTCCACAAAGTAACCTAAAGTCTATCTACATTACAGTGAAAGAGAGGAGAATTTACTAACTTGTACTTTAGATACAATCAAGAAAAATATTATCTCCTGTGCATACCAAGAAAATAACATTCTGGTGCTCTAAAAAGAATAACTTTTGTTGTTAGAAGATTGCAAATGCCCGAATGTTCATGGGTGTGCTTATCATATTGAAAGAAGATATTTAAAAAACACAATTCAAACATATCTCAAATAAAGGTAACCTCTATAAACTTCCAGGGCAAACTTACATGTGTCCACAAAAGGCAGCCCAACAGGCAGTGACATCAGAACTAGAAGTGATGTGGCCTGCAGAGTGTGCAGTGAAGTGCAGTGTTCTACTTGTTTGCAATGGTTTTATTTTTCGACTAGTTTTTATCACACTTGGCATGAACAAGGGAACATGTGCTTTGCTAAATTTGAACTTTTAAGATGAAACTGAATTAACTGAGAACCAAAAAATTGCTTCTGAATTTAAGATTGAAAATGCCTTTCTTTCATACTAGGGATGGCAAAATAAATGACAAGTACATCCTGAAAGTTCAAAAGTAAGTTAGGAAGACCCTGTAGTTTGAGAACAACATTGCTAGCTCTTTTCTTCTTTTAGACACCTGAAAAATAAAATGGGAATGACTTTTCCCCCCATATAGTACACTTCTGCTGACAGAAGAGGTACACTAAACCTAAACCTAAATGAACCTAATATAAGTGATAATTCTAAGTTCTGTTTATTTTCCAACCACAAGGTTTAATTAGCCATTTCTTAAAACTTAGTATCTATCAAAATACAGATCTCTTACCTTAATCCTGTACTTTTTCCCCTATTCCTGGTGTTACAACAAACTACATGGGCTACAACAATCAGAAGCATATCTCTAGGGATGCCCTTCCATCCTAAACTCTGTCAGCCTCTTCATAAAAGCTGTATCATGATACCAAAGTATAAATGTGTCTTTGTATATAAAATCAGTGCCCTGTCATGCAGATATGCAGTCTTTAAAAGACTTGAAATCCAGAACAATTTTAAAGCAACATTGAAATTATAAATTGCAGGATATGTTTATAAGGAATCTAGTGACAAGTAATAGGTCAAACAACTTGGAAGAATCAGCTTGTGGTGCAGCTTCATTGCACTAATAATGTCACAGTTAGTGTATTTATTAAATTAAATATTACCAGCAAGGGTCTTCCAAATGCCATGTTCCTAATACTAGATTACATATTTATTTCAGAGTTAGCATGGTAAGAAGGGAGCTATCAGTAGAAGGTCTATTAAGCCATTTTTTTTTCATTGCTTTAATGGAACTATTCAAATCAAATTTTTCACGCCATGCCTTGAACACCACTGCAAACCATACTGTGGGTGTAAAATACACGCAAGGCAGATGTAATCAGCTCAGATGAGACCAGTGATTGTACACCAGCAAGTTTACCCTATTGTGAAAGCAGGGGGGTTTCTTTCAAGTGAATTTATTTTTAAGTGTGACAACCTAACACACAAGTCAAAGAGGGAAAACAAGACACATAATTCTCAAAACCATTGAACTTTAAGAATAATGCAATGACTAAAATCTTGCCCGTTTTGTCTGCCTTCACTGACCTATCTTGCTGATCTGGGAAATGAAAGTCTGACTATAAATAACTTCAATAACTTCAGTAATTCACAGATTCAACTTTCTTAAAAATTCTTAACTACCTTTAGAAAGCTAATTTCATCATATTAGACTACAATATTACTAAATTAAATATTAAAATTAGCTAAGCAATTGCCAACACACTAAATCAAGTAGTCAAAACACTGAATTGAGTCACCAGGCTTCCAAGTTGTTGAGCCCTTCATACCTATTTGTCTACTGTTGCTGTTTCTTTCCAAGGGCTTCTAATAGATTTAACACAGGATCACAGGTTCTACTTTTTTTTCCTATCCCAAAGCCAAAATGACTGTATGACTGATAGCTAAGACACACACAAAAAAGGTTCTGCACTTAAGAACAGGATGGATGTTTTAATAAAATCGTTTATGAACATATATTGTCCAACAGTCAACTGTACAGTTCTTAATCCTTTGGGGCTGCACATGGCCTCCATTCAACAAAGCTTTTGTTCCTAACCTGCATCCTAAACAGAAAATAGAACATTCTTTAAAGCGTCAGTGCTACAAAGGTAACTATCACCCTCAAAAAGGTGTCACAAAGAATTTTTAGCAGTTGGATTTGTAAGAAAACATGACTGCGGGATGTAGGAATATTAAGCTCGCCGCAGACCCTAAGTTACTACTTGCTAATGGCTCCCGCGATGTAAGTCAGTTTTAAAATCCAGAAACAATACGATTTGTGAAACAAACTTGTCAGTAAGTTTGGGTTGATCTTAAACATGCTGCTCCAGGTCCTCAAGCCTAGCTTTGTAGCAGCCAGCCTGACAGGCCAGAGCCTGCGGGTGGGAGGGGCGGGCCTCAGTCGGCTCAGGCTCGGTCAGGCGCCTTAGGTGACCCCAGGCCTGCTCCAGGCCCTGCAGCCAGGCCACAGCACCGACGCCCACGTCCCCGCGCGCCGCGGCCCAGGCTCAGCCGCCCGGGCCAAACCTCTGTCAGGCCCACTTCGGGCTGAGCTGCGGCGCGGCTGCCCTAGGGCCTGAACTCGGCCTGGGGCCTGGGGCTCGGGTGCGCCTGCTGGGGGGTGGGGGGAGGGCCTCCAGGCCCGCCGCGCTTTGCCCCATCTGGGCTGCGCTGCCTTCGCCTCGCAGGGTGAGGCCAGGGTGCAGAGCCTCCCTCGACGGCGCTGGGCTAGCCCTGCTGACCCAGCCAAGATGGCGCGGCTCACTCTGGCAGGAAGGTGGGAGCCTGAGTCTAGGGTGACCGCGCGCTCGCATTTGTTTCTACCATCCATTCTTTGAAAAGCCACCTCTAAAGACTGAGGAAACTGAGTCCTCACCCCCAGGGAGCTAAAAGGAAACCTGATTTCCACTCTGGGGCGGGCCTCGGACTCCCTCAGCACCTAGCAAAGTCGTCTGACCCGCAGCAGCCTCGCAGCCGCGGACGGTGTCCCCTCACTAGCCCTTAAGGCCTGACATAGGAGAAAGGACCAGGCCTGAGACCAGAAAGCACCCTGTGCGGGGAGCGCGGGCTGCAGTTACCTCCCGCTGACTCAGTCCCCACAGCAGATGGTGGCGGAGCGGCTAGGGAAACGACCTCCGGTTTTCTAAGAGCTTCCTCACAGCAGTCAAAGCGCGTCTTTCAGAACGAGGCGCTTCGTTCCTGTGAAATCTCCATTCTAAGGGCTTCACTTACGCACACTGTGCCTCTCTGAGACCGACCCCGAGGGCGGCGGGCCGCGCGCTCCCGCGAGCAGGCCTCGAGTCCGACGTGCAGCGCGCAGCCCGCGGCCACACGCCCCGCTGCCCAGGCCTCAGAGAGCGCGCGCGCTGCGCCGCCTGGGGCTGCACGTGCTGCTCCCCCACGGGCCGCGGGCCGGCGGGGAGCGCAGCCTGGGTGGGTGCGCGATCACGTGAGTGCACCGCTCCACTTCTCCCTACACCGTGTTTTGTACTTTCCGTGCTCTTCTTTACTTCTCAGATGAGAGGGAAGAGGAAACAAAAGGAAAATCAGTCATCTTTTTCCTCTGCGTGGCACACAAAACTCCACGGAACGCCGTCTAGTGGCGGGATTGTCCAGGGATGGCAAGCCAATCTAATCCCCACCTCGAATTTCCTTTTTAATTGGAATTTTGAAGCTTCTTTACATCTGTCATACCGCAGAGGGGACACAGGACAATCTCTGGGTGATGGTAAATTTAGTTCCATAACCTGAGAGCAACCCAGACTAAACAAGAATGTTGACCCATGTTCTGCCTCTTTCCCGGGTCACCCTCTCTTTAGAGACAAAAGTAGAGAAATCACTGAGAGGTAAAGGCAGAACTGCAAACTTCTTGACTAAGCTGCACCCCACTCCCGCATAAAATGCCTCATTTCTGTATTTGTTCTCAAGGGATGGGGACCTGGCCTGCATAGGACTGCCACTGGGATTCCATTATACACAGGACAGCAAAGAAGCCTCCAGGCATTGTCCCTCACACCCCCTCCCCAGCAAACTTTAAACTCATTTCTTAAAAATAGCCTTTCCAAGACTTTGTGCTACCAATCCTCTTCCACCCCACCGCGAACGATGCCTTGAAGCCATCCTCTCAAGAGAGGCAGGCCATTCTGTTTGCGTTTACAGATTCTCAATCCACCTCGAAGGCCTCTTAGTAAGGCCGGAATTTCCAGCATCTACAGTCAACAACCTATCTTGACATGCTCTAAATATCAACCTACTCTAACGCCTTTCTGAAATTTAAAGAAATTCTTAACTCATCTAAAAGACCCTCCTTTTCATGCCCACGTCATTTCCAGAAGGAGAGATTCTGAGAGATAGGATAAAGAAGGTGCGTGTATTTTCCTGGGGGGAAAAAATGAGAGCAGTAAAGCGAAACGACACCCATAGGGAATTAAATAATTGTAAACAAATAGGAAGAAGTAATCCCTGGTGATGCTATAAAACGAAATTAAAGGGGTATAGGAGGTGGTTGCTATTAGACTGCCCCATATCAGAGTGGGAAGGGGCTAGTCTTCCTTAACCCTTAAAAGTCATCACCTATAATAATTATTTTCAAACTGTAAACTGTTTTCAAACACCATAGTTAGCGTTTTACCAGGTTTATTTTACTTGTTATACACAGACGATACAAACGAGCAAAAAACAAAACGTTTCTCAATGGAGTGTGTACTTGTATAAATTATTCAGTTCACAGACAAAACGAAACAAATATAAAAATCACAACATTTGATTTACAGAAGAGCCAAAGTATACACACGTTTAGACCCTGAATTCCTATTAGGAAAAATCCCCCCATGGACTGGAATCTAGATTGAATATTGTGTATGATGCATATTTCACGTTAATTTTAAAGTACAAAAGTATAGGTTTGCTACACAACATTAGAAATCCTACTAATCTATTTCCAGGAGGATTAATGCTCATCAAATATAACAAGACTTGGGGGGCAGGGAATCAGTCTTACTTGCAATAATGCTAGTGTTTTCCCAAGAAAGTCAAATTTCAGCTGTCTCTAAGTGGTGGGAGGTAAATTATTTTCAAAACTAAAATGCAGGAAAATATACAACTCACACAATTCATCTTCACTAGACTACACTATAGTTACCAACAATTCAGTCATCTATATCATTAGTAGAGTATTCATTACAAAGATTTACAGCATATAAAGGGGGGGGCTGAAAAGATATTCAGAAACAGTTTGTCAGCATATTTGGCACCTGCACAGACCAGTAATGGATTTGGCACTTCGGGGAAAAACAAATAAGGCAAAATAATATTGCTGATGTCTAGCTATTCTATTTAAAAGGGAGGAAAACACAACTCCAGTTAACTCTGCTTTGCAAGCATCGTGCCACTTAAGCAACTTGCCTATGAACAGACGACAACTATCTTTTACAGATGTTTAGGTGGATTCTCCTTAGCTGTTTTGTGTGCATTAGGGCACATCGTGGTTATATCATGCAACGAACTGAGAAGTGAGAAAGCCATCCATGGAGTATTTCACGTTTCCAGAGCCTCTTAGAAATTCTTTAATAGTCCACCAAAAAAACAGAGAAGATATATAGAATGAAAAGAGAAAAGGGAAAGCAAAAGAAAAAAAGGAAAGGAATAAAAAGGTTAAGCATGAACTGGTTTTGTGCCTTGACAATGAGAATAAAAACTAGCCATTCGTTACAATAAATTAACACTATATACAATCATTTCACAGGCTTTGTTCCACTAAAATTATTAACATCCCTACCATCCATCCATCCATCCATCCACTCCAGGATAAGAAAGGACGCGCTGGGTGGGTTCAGGTTCTAGAGTCAACATCCTATGGTTAATGGGGAGGCCGAGACAAGGCGGGTCGGGATCGCTGCGGCCTGACAGGACTGCCCAGGTCTCCTAAAGTTGAAGAGTTTCATTCCAAGAGAAGGGAGAAGAAGGTGAGAAAAAAAGACGGGGAGGATAACCTCCCAGAAGGAAAGTTGGGAAGGGTTATGCAAACTTGAAGGTCGGTGCGCTAACTGCAGAGATGGCTGTGCAGAAAGAAGAAAGAAAACAAAAAAGTTAAGATCATAGTGGGAGACCTGCACTTATCCCCGCAGACGATCACCAAGGGTCAAAGGAACGAGAGAGTGCGCAAGAGCGGGCCTGGGGAGGAGGACGTGGGGCCGAGCGCTGAGGGGCAGGCCGGGCCCGGGGCGGGTCGGGGAGGCCTAGCTGTGAGAGTAGAAGCCGTAGTAGCCGCCTATGTCCTTGGCGCAGTTCTTCTCGCAGTCCCGCTGGGCCAGCACCTCGCTCTTGAGTGGGGACGAGCTCTCGGACACCGGCGTGTCTGCCGGCGAGATCCGCCTCCGCTTGGCCTGCTCGTAAATCCCCGAGTCGCTCGAGTCGATGGACTTGATGGAGGAGGGCGTCTCGATCCAGCTGGAGTCGGACAGGTCCTTGGGCTTGGCGTCCTCCGCGGCTCCGGGCGCCAGCGGCGAGCGCTCGGCCGCCAGGCCCTCGGCCTCCTCTCCCAGGTAGGGGTTGGCGCCCGCCATGCGCGCGGCGGCCGCGCTGTTGGGCCAGCAGGGCAGCACGGAGCCGGACTTGGCGCCGCAGTACTGCGGGGGGCTGCGCGCGCCCCAGCCCGACGGGTCGGCGTAGTAGCCGAGCGGGCGGCCGGTGCAGCCCGCCGCCTGCAGCGGCAGCGCCTTCACGCCGGCCGCCGCGTACGACAGCAGCGTGGCCGCGTTGCCCGCGAAGTCCGTGGCCGTGTCGTAGGCCGAGGCCGCGAAGTCCAGCCGGTTGTTGGCCGGCGTCACGAACCAGCGCTGCGGCGAAGGCGCTCCCGGGTCCTCGGCCTGCTGCGGGGACAGCAGCCCGTTGGTGTGAGGCACGCTGCGGTCTGTCCCCGGCCCGGGCCCCGCGCCTGCACCCGGGTGGAAGCGGGCCTTGGCGTAGTTGCTTACGAACTGGTCCTGCAGGAAAGAGCCGGCCATGGCGTAGCGGGCGCCGGGCACGATCTGCGAGCGCGGAGAGTCGTTGGGCGAAGGGGTCAAGCGGTCCATGTCGCAGCCAGTGTAGATCCTGAGGGAGGGAGAAAGAGAGAACCGAGGCGTGGCGCGGAGGTTCCTTTAGGGTCTTGAAGGGAGAGCCACCTCTAGTTTTTTCCCACCCGCACACCTTCCATCTGTAAAGTTGGTCTAGCCATCCAGGATGCAGACAACAGATGGTTACAGACCTGCATCCTCCTCAACCTGAATTGTGGAATTATACCGATCTGCTCATGCAGGAACCTGGGCGGGACACATAGCATAGAGTGGAAGTCTTCCCTCTTCCCACGCTCTCGCTAAGTGCACCAGGGACCAAGAGGGGCACAGCAGGGGCTCTCAATCCGCTTCTCCAGTATTGTACAGAGTTATCCAAGGACTCAGGTGCTATTTGTCCAATGGGCCTTTCCTCTCTCATGGATTTCTATTCAAAATCTCTAAACAAGTGACCCAGTCCCTCCACCTTTTAAGACCCCCCCCCCATGTTCATTTGGTGGTTCAGAATGTTTCTTTCCTTTTTCTATGTAGTTTAAGAATTCTCTAGGGGGAAAAATCCTGGTGGGTAGGATGGGGGAACAGACAGGTCCAGATAGTAATCAAGGACTGGCCTTCACCAGCCTTCTGAGACCAGGAGGATTGAAGCTGGAATCCTCTAAGGTACTTTTCTTCTATTGCCTCCTCTTATGTAAGCCCTTTAACCCCCTCCACCAATGCAAACAAACAGGAATTACTACTTGGAAGCAACAGTCATCAATCAATACAATTCTTTAAAAGAAAAAAGTGTACTTTTCTCTGTTCTTCTCTACCCTGCTTTTGCTCCATTACTGACAAAAAGAAAGAAAAAGAAAAGGAAGGAAATAAGGGAGAGGAAAAGGATAGGAAAGGAAAATAACATCCTCTTTGAGGGAAACTCTTAATTACCACCCTCCTCTAAGCAACTGACCACTAAAACCAGCAAACCTTTACAGAGTTTAGTTTAGGAACTTACTTGCTGACAATAGAAGTAGATTGATTGGTTTATTTAACTCAGAAAAATCCTTCTGAGTTAGGTACTATTATCCCACTTCCCGATGAGGAAACTGAGGCATAAAGAAGTTAAATAATTTGCTCAGTAATCAACAAAGATTGCGTTGTTGGGAATTTTGTTAAATAAAATAAAGAGTAATCTTGAGCCCTGGGCCTAGAAAATCCCATTTGAATCAAGAAGAACTGAGATTGGATGATAATTAGAAGTGTTTCCTCATACACATAAACACATGCCTCACTTTTTATTTAGCACACATAAATATTTCAATCTTAGTCCACAAACTATTTTGAAAGAGAACCTCAGTCTGGTCAGACCTCAACCTTTTGGAGAGAGGAGTCCCCAGGGTATGGCCAAGCAACCTTCTAGTACTCTCCTGAACTGTCTGTCATGCCCCCTCCCATGGCTCCCAAATCAAGTCACACCCAAATAACTAATATGAAAGGGGAGAGGGAGTGTCAGGTCCATTCAGCTCTTCACCATCTCCTCCAAACCTAGGAATCACTTTTGTATAAATAAGATTTTTATGACAAATTTATAGTGATTAAAGAGAGGGAGGTGGTTTGTGCAACAGAAGGCAGCCAGAGGAGGAGGGCAGATGCTGTGGCTACTCAGGTACATTCAGCTTATTGAAAAAGAATCCCCTCCTGAAATTTAGTTCCAGTTCAAATAAAAGAAGTAGAGGGAGGCAGGAAGGGAACATAACTATCAAGGCACAAATATCTTCTCTGTTTACCACCACAATATTTTTAAAAAGAAAAAAAGCAGCCTGAAAAGGATACAGTTTAGGTGCCCATCCAGGTCCCAACCCACTTGGGATTACTGAATTGATTTGTGCAAAATAAATGCTTATGAACAGATGTTCACAACAGAATTAAAAGCTCAAAATCTATAGGACTCTCTTCCAACATCCTTAGTCTCTTGGCCCACATTCTTTCCACTGTATTAAGTTCATCTTTTTCAAATTTTGAGACCTAGAGTAGCTAAGTTTTATTCTAGTGGATTATATTGATGAGGCTTGGTTCCTTTGAACTGCTTTTGAGGGACACATAAGAAGGTGATAGGCATTAAATATCAATAACTTTCTAAATTGTTATAAAAAATATCAAGAGGGGAAGGTAGGTAGCTGTAGATTGGGATAAAGGCGCTACCTGTTTCTCCACACATTTAATCTCTTCCTACTCAAAGACAACTTTAACTTTTTAGTTCTATCCCAAAACCAAGAAATTAAGATGCATACAATCTTTTAGAGTCAGAAAAAAAAATAGGTGAATTCCACAATCTCAATTTAGGTTTTGCTATATAACACTGTCTGAAAACTCTTAAGCACTATAGCCCCTGAATGTTTCAGAACAAGTCTAGAAAGCATTCAGTTTATACCGACTGCTGCCCCAGAGAACAGCTTTGCTCTGAAAAAGAGAAAAAGAACCAACATATTTAATCAAACACATAGGTGCAAAAGATAAGAGGAAATATTTTTCTTTTGAAGTTTATAAATAATACACAGCAACCGAATCTTAGTCCTTCCCAGACCCTACTGTGACTGTAAATTCAGCTCTACACATGAATGTCTGTGTTGGATGCACATTGTCATTCAGTCCATAGTAAACTTGCACAGGAAATGCTATTACACAAAACTTGGAAATAGGTAAATAAAAGTCACATATGCCAAGGAAACTGTAACAACTGCCAGAGTCACATGCACTTTCAGGCAGAATTGCCAGTTTCAGACAGACAATCTGAGCTGAGCATCTGCAGCTTGCCACACACACAATACCCTCACCAGGGAACCAGGGCAACTTCCCCAGCATCTAGCCAGTCCAGAGGCCCACAAACAACTTTGGAATTCGCAGAAAAGCTATAAATAGATAGAAGAAACTTTTAACCAAAATCACATAAATACCAAGCCACAAAGTCACCAGAGAAGAACCCACAAGATAAGGAAGGGAAAAAAAAAATCACAAACAGTTCTATCCTTGCACATTTTGGCTTCCAAAATCCATATATGTAACACACCTCCCTTGAGCTAATGGTCAGTTCAACAACTATTTGAAAAGCAACATGCAAAATCACTTACGTGTCATAATTATCTCGAAATCCTTTCGCAAAGGGGTTGTGATCTATTTTCAGCTGTGTGATCTGGAACAGAGGAGAAAGGATGACTGTAATCTCACCTACACAGGAAGGGGGTATACTTGAGAGTATATTATCTGCCACTTTACAGGGGCTTATGGCCTACAGATTCATCAAACAGCAAAGTTTCTCTAACAAAAATTTGAGAGAATAGCCAGGAAGAGGAAAACAAAGTATCAGGAAAGTTATGAAAATCATATTTAAATTAATAATGCCTAAAAGCATTTCAGTGAACTCTCCTGTAATCCTAAATTGATTTAAACTCCTATTTTAAAAATATGTATTACACACAATACACTTGCTTAGACAAAAATCCTTAAGAACTTCAATTCGTCACCAACTGATAACTACTTTCAAGAATTTCATTATATTTTCTTAAACAGGCTGATTCAGATTCTCAACCTGAAAAATCAGCAAATTGTGTCTCAAATCTGGGCTGATTTGAAAAAAAAAATGTTTTCCTTATTTCTGATATTTTCACCTCCATGACCAAACACAAAACTTTTATTACTTCTAAAAGTCAAATCAGCTAGTAAAATCAGTTTTTGCATACATATAAATATTGAAAAGGTTCAAGTGTTAGAAAACTCCATTAGACCCAGTAAACTGATTTATTAGAGTTTTCACATTTCATATATGTGAATGTGTATGTTGTTTTCTTTTTTAAACTCTCAGAACTTAGATTTTAAAAAACATTTTAAATATCCTAAAACGCATGGGAGAGGTGTTTCTTAAAAGAAAGAGAATTTTTTAAAAAGAAGAAAAAGCAAATGTTAATGTGTTCTAGTTTGAGTACCAAATTGAAGTTCCCAAAGCATCACTGCATCCCAGAGCTGGCGGCCACACAGCTGGGTCGGTGGCCAGAGCGCTAAGCATGCAGGAAGTGCTTCCCCATCCGCTTGGCGTTTAGGGGAAGGGCCTAGTAGGCCCGTTGCCCTACCCTAAAACAAGCATTAGAGCCAGCTGCGACTGATGTTAGTGCTGCTAGATGTCTAGTGCAGGAGGAACAGGGGAAGGGTACGGGAGATTGTGCCGCCGGTGGCGCGCCCAGCCGGAGCTCCTTACATCAGTGTTCTGGTAGGCTGTGACGGCAATGAATTGAGTCTCCGGGAAAGTGAACGTCTGCACGCGGCCGGGCTGGCTGGTGTCCTCTGTGCCATCTTCATTCACTTCCACCACGTGCAGGCGGGGCTGGTACTTGTGCAGGGACTGTAAAACCACCATCTGTCCAGCGAAGAGAAAGGAGAGCGTGGAGCGATGCGTTAACGCGTGGCTGTTTACGCCAGGCTGCTTGCCCAGGGCTGGAGAGACCAATTGGAGCCCGCAGCCCCCAGACAACTGCCTGTGAGACTCCCCTGCCCGGTGACCCGGTGGCCGGGAGACACAGGCCCTCGCACCTCTGGGAGCCTGGATCCTCTGGGCACCGGGGAAAAAGGAGTTCAACTGCGGATCCTCTGGTTCCCTCTCCTAGCCTTCCTTTAAAGAGGAACAAAGATTTTTCCCAACCTGCAGACCTTATGGGTTTCTTTCTCAAAATGAATTAGTACTTGTGCTTGGAAAGATGAATTCTGGAAGGAATGGGGTCGAGGTGGAAGGCAAGGAGAGCAACTTTATAGATTAAATATATGGTTTTGGAGGGTAGCAATATGATTTTTGAAGTCTTCAGTGATGGGGAAAAAATCCTATTCAGTTTCACATGCTGTTTTAAAGAATAGAGAGAGAGAGAGAGATTGAGCCACTGGCCACTGACCTGCCCATTGTTGTTTGAAGCTCCCTTGTTGTTGGTAAGTTTTAATTTTCCAAAAGAGATTTCTTGTCGCATCCAGTGAGCCCCAGTGTTGGGGGAATCCGGATGCATATAGACCCGATTTCCTAGGTAAAGAAATACCCTGTTTACGTATGCTCTGGGCACTGCCCAGTTCCAACTCCTTTGCACATGAAACACACACACACACACACACACACACACACACACACACACACCTTACTCCACTGTGAGGTCCATTAGGTGGGTTTCTTGGGCCATACTTTCTTCTATTAACTGGGGATTATTAAAATAGCTTCTACTACCCCATGCCAACTGGGCACCACATACACACAGACACACACACACACACACACATACACACACAAAACACAACACACATACACAGCAAACACACCTTACTCCACTGTGAGGGCCAGTAACTGGAGCTTTTTTTAAGGCCCTGCTTTCTTCCCATTAACTGGGATGATTAAAATAGCTTTTGCATAATCCTACCCCATCTCGCAGCTCAGTCTGTTCCCCTGTCCCTCTCTTTAAGAAGTCATTGGCCAATCGTTTTAAAAGTCGCTCAAGCCAGTCCACAAAGGCTTTAATTAATCATTCTCACCTAAATAAGTGTCAAGAAAACGTGTTAATTGGAAGGACTTGCCTTGCACATTGGTGTCCGCTTTGCCACAAGGAACCCATTTGCCTCCTTGAAACCTCCAGTGATTGGGATCCGCCAAAATAACATCCACAAAAATATTGTAATGAGCCGTAGGATCGAGACCAGAAATGTTAAAACTTAAAAAGGGAAACATGCGCCTGTTTAAATTAAGAAAGGGAGAAAAAAACAAGGAAAAAGAAAATAAATGTTAAAGATTAAATGCAAGAAGCGGGGCGCCAGATAGCAAAGTAAAACTTGTTCTCGCAGTGTAGGTGAACGAATGTTTGCTGATCTAGAAAAGGGGTTGTGGGTGAAGGAAAGAAGCGGGGTCGAAGTCGGGGAGAGCAGCGAGTGACCTGGAGTAGGGAGTCAGCAGGAATCGCTGCCCAGGTGAAGAGCGCGGTGAGGACCTGCATCTCCACCTGTCCCCAGGCGAGCCTTGATGGGTAGCTCTTAACCCCGGCTGCGGCCGCGGCTTTTCCTCTTCCTCCAGCCACTGACTGGCTCTCCGACCGCGTTCGTACAGCGAGCTCCCCTCTACCAACATCACCATGGTGGCTATCCCTTCCACTTTCCCTTTCTCCAAAACCAGCCAACTCCAAGGCGCACGAGAGCGCCTTCCACTCGGTTCCCGACCCCACATCGTCGCTGCCGCGGCGGCCACAACTTGGGTGCACTCGCCCAGGGTCATGCCTGGAGAAGCGGCAGCCAAGAAAGTAGCATTACCTTCCCTGTTTGGTGATGATCATCTCGGTCTGATGCCGGTGAAATTTCAGCCAAAGTGGCCTGTTGCACAGGTACACCTGAGCCTTGCCGGGCACCAACCCTGGCTGCGTGGAGGAAAACTGGTAAAACGGGGCTCCTTGGTAGGAGTGGCCGTATTGCTGTGGGTAGGGGTAGCCGGCCGTGGGGTAGCCCTGCGGCGAGGAATTGGACAGGAGGCTGTTGTAAGCTCCGTTGGTGATGACCGGGTGGTGGGCCATGTAGCGACTAGGGCTGCCGATGGAGAAGGCGGGGTGAGCGGGTCCGTGCTGGCCGGGGTACGGAAACATGGCACTGGGAGCAGTGGCCGCAGACTGTGGCTGGCTGGACTGAGAGAGGAGGTAACGATCTGCAGCAGAGCCATCGAAACTGTGACGAAGCTCAGAGACCCCGTCCAAGACAGGAGAGAGTTTACTTCTCTGGGCGTCCCCTGGTGAGTCCTTGGAGTCAGGAAAATTGTCTGTATCTGACTGATTCGTCATCCCCCTGGTAATTTTTTTCAAAGGTGAACTTCTCTCCAGGTTGTCAGTGGTCGAGATAATGGGATGATCGTGCAGGACAAGCTCAGATCCGCCTGAATGTGGGTAGCTGCTGCTCACATTGAGAAATTTCTTGGAGAGCATGATAGAAGGAGAAAGGCAGTGCTCCAGCTGCATAGCTCTAGAACCTGAGCGCTCACCCTCCCGTCCCTGGGTTTTAAAGTCCTATTTATCATAAACTAGAAATCCACAGACCCTCTCACTAGACAGAAAGCACTTCAACCAGCAAATGCTTCTCAAAGGTTTGATTTACTTTTTTTTTTCCCTGGGAGAAGAGATTGGCCAATTGACACTATGCAGCAATCAGAAAAGGCTCACTTTTGATCTTGCTGCTTATGCAGCCGATGAAACGGCTCCTGCCATTGGTTAACTGCTGACAGTAATTTAATTAGATAGACATTAATTAGGATAATCACCTGGCTCCTGGTCGCGACGATCATGGCAAATTGAAGGGGATGATTTTATTGTTGGCTTGGGGGGTGGGGAATGTGTGTTGGTTTACATGAGCTCTGTTATGTCACCTTTAAGCTTTGTGACCATTGCTTTAGGAAGATTCAAAGATATGCAATTTACTAAACATTTCCTCCCCCCACCCCTTTAGAGAGGAGGGGCAAGGAGGGAATTCGATGATGCTAGGAGACTTTTCGGATCTGAATGAGCCAAATATTCAGTTGAATGTAACGATTTCAAGTGCAAAGTATACAAAGCGTGAGCCGGTGGCCTCTTCTCGCCCTGTAAAAGTTCCAGAGTCGGTCTTTTCCAGCTAATACAGAAGCACGCACACCTGAGCTGGTGCTTTGTGAGTAGGTCCTGAGTGTCCTTGACATCCCCTCCCCCACCTTTTAAACTGCACGAATAAATAAGTAAATAATAAATAAATAATAAATAAATCCCCACTGTTGAGAGCCTGGTATTGAACTGGAAAGGGGGAGAAGTGGGGTTGAAAAGCAGCAATGCACCCACCCATCCACCCACCTGGGGAAGGTTCAGTTTCCTGGTGGAGCACAGAAACAGTGACAATCTATGATCTCCTTTTTAAGTTTTGAAATAATCATAAGCTGTCATGCTGAAATGCTTTAATGTATTTGCAGTGATGTTTACTGGGTCTTTACTAAATATTTTATCAGCCAACTTGGTGGCAGATCATCTGAAGAGCATCTAACTGGGGGCAGACGCCATGTATTCTTTGAGTCCCACCGCACTTCCTTCTCTCCGAAGTACAGGCTTGGCGACAGGTTCAGAAGCCTTGCCAGGGAAAGAAGGCTGAGTCCCTAGTGCAAATGGGTTCGCCAGAAGTGCTGATCTGGGGAGACAGAGTGGAAGTGGTGTCAACGCAGTGATATTACTGAAGACTCCTCTGTGTGTGTGTGTGTGTGTGTGTGTGTGTGTGTGTGTGTAATGTTTACATAATCTACAGCGAGAGAAAAAGAATCCAAGCCAGTAATTTTAAAGGGAAAAATAGAGAAAAGAACCCATTAAAAGAGATGTTGGCACAAATAAACAGCAGGAGGCCCCAAAGCAAGTCTAAGGTGTATGGAGAAAGGATCTCCCAGTACCTGCTCTACAGGAGTCCAGCCGCCAGCCTGAACCAGAGCCAAGAGCACCTAAGGTCTATCAGCCCAAAGCTGTTTCGCGTGGCCGGACACACGCCAACCTGCCCTCCTGCCACTTCCCTCCCAGAAGGCAGCCATGTGGGAATGAGGAGGGCAGCCCGGACTCTGCGCTGCCTGGCTAGGTGGCCAAGTGGCGGCGGGCTCCGCCCCGGATACTGAGAGAGCGCCAGGAGACCGCGTCTGGCGAGGACCCCAGAGGCTCAGAAACCACCCGGGCTTCGGGCGGGGCCTGGGCATCTCGACAAGGTGGCGCCTCTGCCTTCGCGCCAGCAGCCCTCCTTCCCAGGCCAGAGCAACAGAGAGGTCAACGCTGGGAACACTGGGTGGGTCCTGGGTATCAGAGAAGGGTTAACAGCTTCAGGCTGTGATACAGTTTAGTATGAAGTGGTCAGTCCTAGCCCAGACTGAACCACCTCTGAAGAGGGCTGGGCGCCTTGGCTGCAGAGGGTACCGGCTGCGGCCTCACACAGAGGGCCGCGACCAAGTCCCAGCACCGGCGGCCACAGCCAGACAGGTTGATGACCAGACATCTGACTCAAGCAGAAGAAATTTTCTGGGAGAAAAATAAAGCCAGATCCATTTTCCATCTGAAAGCAAACCTCAGCTCCGGGCCAGGAAGCTTCATAAACAGGTTTTTAGTTGTTGAGGCATTGGACTACCAGAGAATAGCTACCATCGCACTTGACTCGCCCCCCCAACCTTGTCTGCTTCTGATTCTCATGAGGCTTTCACCCCATTTTAGCTGCTATGGTTTCTCCTTTCTCTGCATCATTCACTTGGTTTCCAAGTGCCTCTCCCTTTGTTGCTTCTCACCTTCTAATATCACCTAAATAGGACAGAGCCTTAAGTAAAAAGGTGAGAGAGAGATCATCTGAGGTCTTTTTAGGTTTTGCTATTCTGAACTGGCTTCTTTAAACCACAAAGAATGTTAAAGTGACCATTATAAGGTGTTAAAAGGATAGAAAAGGAGTCAAGTGCACACAGCCCTTAGTTTTTAAGAAATTGATTTGGAGTTGAATGAGGACTGCGACCCACTTTCAATAATCAGCACAGAATTGAGTAGCTCTTGACTTACAGGCTTTGCCTTGAAATTTATGTACGCTCACAAGGTACATGAGGACTCTCCTAAACAGAAGTCTTACTACACTTGGTCTAGTATAGTTTGGATTATGTATACATACAAGCTTCCAAAAACTCCAGATGTTACCAGTCCATGCACATCATTTTTTTTTTTTTTTTTCAAAGACAGTGTCTCCCTGTAGCCCCAGCTCGCCTCTGTCATCTGAGTGCTGGGATTAATCACATTTTGAGAAGAAAGCAGTCAAAGAAAGCAAGGACATGTCTACACTAAAGGCAGAGCTGCTTCAACTCTGGATGACTAAGTGCTCACATCTGCACACAAGCACACATGCATCTGTATTTGTGCACACAGACAGACACACACACACACACACGCACACGGGAGAGAGGGATATTGGCTTGTGACTAAACAAGTTGGCTCAATGCCTGGGGCATCAGGTTACTGCTAAAATGGTTATACATTCCTAGACAAAGGTCCCCGCTGAGCATCTCCTATTAGTATATCCTGATCAACTTTAAAAACAGAAAATGGATTTTTGGTAAGTGTCAAGGTTCTGAATTTGGGCTGTCTCCAACATAAACCAAGTAGGAGAAAATATGTTGCTATGCAAACATCAAGGTCATGTGGTCAGATAAGAGCAAAAGATAGGCACTATATAAGCCTCCCCAATCTTCGTATTTAATTCAGGATATTTTTGAGGAAACTAGTTAAAAAATAAAAACTCAACCTAAAAATTGAGACCAGCCCTAGGAATAATAAAGCTTTCTTCTGAGGGTTTACAATCATAACTAGTTCTTATCAATAGTATCTGTGGAGTAAGTCAAAACTTAATTCATAAAGGAGAAAATTCTAACCTCCATTTATTTTCATTTTAAATGGTTAGATAAAATTGTAACAACTTAATGTTACAGTAACAAAATACTATCACTGTATCTAAAAGAAGAAACTACAGGACAAGCAAAAAGTACCCAGAATATCTCATTCCACTAAAAAATGACACTGAAACACACTGGGAAATGAAGCAATTTTACTTTTGGTTTCTGAAAACTTTATCAGGCAACCATTAAGTGTATAGATTGTTTAAGTAGGACCTCCAGCGGCATTCCTAACCCCTCTAAGTAGTAATGTCTTAAGTCCCCAAGTAAAACCTTCCTTTCATGAAGATATAGAAGTATTCTCATCATACTTTCTTAAGAAAGGGTGTAACCTAGAATTAAGTCTTTGACTCTAACCTTTTGCCTTACTACTTGAGATACTCAGTAAATTGCTGTACTGTACTAGCAAGGAAGGAGCAGTTATCTGTTTACTTCAGGTGAGAAGCCATGAAAACTGCCAGTCAATACTACTGTACTGAGTACTTTTAATTAAGGAAAGAAAACAAAACCATTGTTTATAAACTCATGATATTAAAGTCACACTAGGACCTTTTCATTTCTTTGAAGAAAACATACCTTCTGTGGCCGTGTTTCATGAAAACATAGTGGTGCTTCCAGTAGCCAACTTCCAGACAATCTCTTAGCATTGGTAGAATATACTCTTTTAAAATGTGATATAGTTTAAATTAAAATAGTCCCCTTTTCTTTTTAAATGTATTGCTCTGAAATCCTGAAAAAGTACAGTATATTGAGATACTGAATATACATTGTTGGCTTGTGAGAAAGGCTTTTTTTTCTTTTTTAAAGTCAGTATCTTTTTTTTCTGGGTTACTCCACTAATGAGGTAGCCACTTATCAATGGCAATCATTTTCATTTGTGAAGTTTTGTTATCACAGTGATGTTTTATGTGTTATAAGATCTTAAAATGCAAAGGGAAACATATCTTTGTGTGAGATTTCCAAAGCACTGTCAAATATTATTCTGTCAATTCCACCCAGTGCCAAAAAAGACCTCAGGAGACTTGGATTGTAAACGTATTTTATTTTGTAAGCAACAATCAAAATATATTTGTGCTACTGATTTTTTTCAATATTAAATGGATCTTAACAAAATCGGTCCACTTTGATGTATTCTTGTACAACTCTGGACTCTGCAAAGACCCTGGCCAAAGAAACAGAAGTAATTGCACAGCTGAGACTGAAGGTGTTTCAGTACTGCAAATGATGCCAGATTCTTACACCTAACCACATACACCTTCAGAGGTTCCTTGATTTTGAACATTAGGAACAACAGAGGAATATACACTGAAAGTGTCACTAAATGCTTTCTGCTTTGCTTTATTTAAATACAACAGTATCCAACATTGCTGCTAAACACTGGACAATATTTGAAGTCATAAGTACATCCACATGTTCTTCCAAATGACGTTTGGGATCCTAAAAGAAAAAAAAAATGTAAAAAAAAGCAAAAGGAAAAAATAACTGCATTATTACTAGTGAACAGACTAAGATTTTTCTGAAGAGATGATTATATAGCAATTATACATTCTTATGGTCTCTATTAAGAAGTAGCTAATAAAATTGTACAATGAAAGATTGGCTTGTGCAAGTAATGCTATAACCCTACAGCACAGATTCCCATAAAGGGTATAATGGAATTCTACAAAACTCACAACCACCTGATTTTAAAAAGATGAATTTATGTGTGTATATGTCTGAGTTGTATGTATATTCTCTGTCATTAACATATTTTAAATGTCTGAGAGTATGTTTTATTTAAGGCATGAATTTTTACCTTTTCTCTATATCTTTGTAAAAACATAAATTCTGTATAATCTTAATACTTCAAGAGCAATGATTTACATGATTCAGAGAATATTCTTGAAACAAAAGCCAGTGTAATTGAAAATTTTAAATGCAATGTGAACTAATTCTAAAATGTTAAGAATGTTTCATCCAGCTATTTTGGAAAACTGTATTATAGAATATTACATAGGTGTGACTCTTAAACCTAATCAAATCTATTTTTAAAATAAGCCAGGTTAAAAATAAAACATAAAATTGCATTGTAAGAAGGGATTAAAATGCTTACTTATGTTTAAGGGTGAATAAAGTATTTTGGCTAAATTTGCAACTTTGAAAGAAAGGATATATATTATACACAATAAGAAATTAATTTAAAGCATTATTTTCTTAAAGGTGTTGCTAAAACACCCAAGATTCCTACCTTAAAATAAGTGTTCTTCACTAGATTATGTCTTGGCTTTCCTTTTCTAACCTATGATTTCAATATACTGATTTCTTTAAGCAACTTAGAGATACCATATGCCACAAATAATTCCAAGTGATTAGGCTACAATATTATTATTTATTTTTTATTTTGGAATTAAATCTTAATGTCTTCTAAGTGGAAACGTACTAAGAGAGACTAAAGGAGAAAAGGATATTGATTTGATTCTATTATATACAATTTTTCTTTTGTTATACCAGAGGCCAAACCAGTGAATTAGTTTTGATGTTTAAAAACATGATGTTGCATTAAATATCAATTATGTATTTTCCAATTTCAATTTAGCCCTTTTATTTTGCTGCTGTTACAAAAAATCTACATCAAGAAACTACAGCCTCAGAAAGTAATTTATTCAAATAGCAAATTCTAGGAAGAATAAGTCTCCAAATTGCTAACCTAACATTATATATTAGATGAAAATAAGTGGCAGAAAATGAAAACAAGGCTTGGATCATATAAACTAGAAAATAAGATGAACTGTATTTTGGCTTGAAGGCACTCATTCTTAAATTGTAATATTCAGAATCTACTCAGATTTGATTTCCTCACTTATATGATAAAATCAGACCTCTGCCCCTACTACTCTGTTGGATTAATTGGTTTTATAGTGAATTGGTAACTCATTTATCATTTATCTACATTACTTCTTGTGGCAGCTGGGTGATTCTTAGAGATTTCCCATCCAAGAATGGTCCTGGCCCAAACCTACATAGCTTGTGAGATGTGATGGGATCAGAGCATATGGTAGGATGGCTGAAAGCAAAGACAGCTTAGTGTCTTGCATCTGAAATATCAAGATTCTGCCAACATCAGCAATATGATAACCATGTTCCATGAAATGGGGAAAAAATGTAATCAACATTCTTTTAAAAAACAGTCTAATTAATCTGTAGATTCCTTTAATTGCTTGCTGCCCCCCCATCCTCTAATAACTAGGCTAAAATATATATTTCATCTTAGAGAAATAAAAGAACTACTACTTAAAACTTTTTATTCTCTCTTTCAGTATAGTCTCTATAAACTTTCTCAGGTGTATCACCTACATATTAATAAAATATATCTTAAAAAATGGTTACATATGAAGTAAATCTTCAAGTTTTTACCTACCTATTGTAAAACACACCATTAAGAAAACAGTTACATGTTAAATAAAAATGTACCATCTTATTATTTTACCTCACCTACAGTAAAATTATCTCAGGACCCAAGTGTCCTAATTTATTTTTAGTACATTATTTTCATGAAGGATAATGCATCATAGGTACAGAGCTATGATTTATTCTCTATATATAGCTAAAAGAATCTGATATCAAATAAATTCAGTGACTTTTAAAATTAGTATAATCAGATGACAGAAATAAAATGCAGAGTAAACAAACAAGAAAAATTATATAGGCCCTAAAATAGTTTTACATCTATCTACAAGAGCACGTTATTATGTGGCTGTATAACCTATTATAGTCTCCTCACCTGCTTGCCAACATTCTTTATTGCCAGCTGTTCAGGTGTCATCTTATCTTCTTCCTCTACAGCCTGTGAATGAAACACAAAGGACAGAGTTTCAAATTCTGTATTTACTTCTCCCACTGAAGTATAATCATCAAAACAACAGTGATGATAATTTTTATTCACAGCACCTTTTATTCAAACAATTTATTGAACAAAAAGGCAACTCTGCTAATCTCCAGAACAATCTTCAGGTAATGAAAGCTATTATCACTATCATTGTTAAACATTTAAGAACACATAAACAGAACTGGAAAATACCAAACTGGACCACTAAATGGTAGCATTACTATGGAAGTATAAGGCGCCTCTTATGGTAGCAGGGCACTACCCAGTTCCTTTTCCTCCTCTCACAATAGTTCTCCCAAACCCACATTTCTTCTTCATTGCTTTGGCCAATCCAGCCTGTGTATGGCCAGTACCTATTTAGTAGCACTAAGGTTTAAAGGAGCTGCTGTGTTTTTGATCTAACTAACAAATAATAATTTAATTTCTATACATCTTTAAAATAAGTGTATAGAAAAAAGTTCACAATTCACGTGAAGTAAACATAAAGAAATTTCAAGTAATTTCATTTTTCACACAGAAATAATCACATAAATTAAAAACCAAATTAAATCAACCAAAATAACAACACAGGAAAGCCATTTTCTACTAAGAGTTAACTACAAATTCTTTCTAATCATAATCTTTCTAGTAAAATAATTCCAAAATAATTACAGCATCTAGATTAGTGCTAGTTAGCACACAACTTTCCTCCCTCAATAATAGCAGTACCATAAAAACCTCTTTATGATTATTCTAACATTTGAATATTCTGGGTATGTTAAGGCCTACCCTGTATTTGGTGAACGCATGGTCTACAATTTATTCGTAACATCTGATAAACAGAAGATGAAGAAAACTTATTGTTCACTAACTGCCAAAAATGCTACTACAGCATTTACCACAGAGATGGTTATAAAAGGGGGTAAAATGGTAGTGTCAGAAAGCAGCAAACCAAGATCCCAGTGCGGATTAGATTTGGACACTCTAAACTTAATAATCTCACAGCTGCCAAATTTCTTCATGTGTGAACAATGAACATGTAGGAAATGCAATCATCAGACATTTCCCATAAACTGGGAAGTTTGGCTGTATTTCACACCTTCTTAATAGTTTTGTAAACAGAGAACTTGAAAATGAGCAAAGATGGCAAGTGTCTAATTTTATAAATGGACAAACTATCTAGAGAATTTTCGCCAGTAGGTCCTGCCTAAAGAGAAAAAATGGTGAAAAACTATTGTATCTACTGGTTACTGGAGGATAGGCATTTATAACATATTAGGAATTACATTTAAACCTGAAAGAAGAAAAAATAAAAGTCCCTAACACTTCAAATCTAGAATTCCCTAGACAGAGAATATGTTCCCTTTCGGAGTCATATGTCACTCTACTATTCTCGGCTAGTTATGAAAATTATTTCCTAACTAGGAAATTGCTTTTCCTACTTTTCAATGTTTTACAAAAACAGAAGCAGTAAAATGCAGTAAGGGTTTATCTTTCTAAATTACTTAGGATTGTGACACTGTACTTTGCTGACTTGAAAAATGTATTAGATGAATGAAACAATTCACTGAAGTTTGTACTTCATACTCATTCAGTGTTAGATGTTCCACACTCATGCCAACAGCAGTACTTACTATAGTACTGGAAGGAGGCAGAGTTTTGGAATTTGGCTCCAAATACCAATCTACACATAAATAATTATTAGAGTATTAGATTACTACAAATACCAAAGATGGCAGATATACAAAGATGAAAGTCAAAAAGCATTTAAACCTTTTTAAGATTATCTGAAAGGATAAATAGGATATAAAAAGCTCTAATAATTTTTAAAAATCTTTTACAACATGTAACCACTTTACCAATTAGTTTTTCTATTCTCAATAATTAAAAGAGAGAGTTCACAAACTCTTTGAGAAGTGCAGATGGTAAAAAGTACTCCTAGCCATGGATGCCATCTGGGAAATGAGGAGCAGCTGTAGATTTAGGCAGATACTAAGGTTGCAAACCCCCATGACAGAAGAGCAAGCACATCACTTCCATTCTAAGACAGACCAGGTCATGGCATCAAACTCCCGACAATTTTCTCCATCTACCTAAGTTACCTATATCTCATCTACCATCTGGGCAAGACCAGTCTGTCTTCACTCACAGTTCTAATCTGGCTTGTCCCCAGGAAAAATTAAGAAATGGTAACAGCAGAAACAAATGAAATTCAGGCACAGGCAGTGTCCTCACTAGGGAACTTCTGTGTTTATGGCAACTTCTGTGATTTGGCTTCAAAATTTGCTTTTGCATTCCTGCTCTTCGGTTTACTCAACCAACAAAAAGCACTGAAAATGTTTGTGGCTATTCACACTAGAAACGTTTTTAACAGTTTATCAACAAAGACCCCCAGATGGCTATCCCATCATGCACGGTCTGCACAGTTCTAAGAAATTCTTGCAATTTGGTCTGTTATGTGATCATAATCCCCTCAAATGTACCCTCTATCTTAAAGAGACTTTTACTAAACCCATTAGCCTTATTCTCTTTTTTTATGTTGATGGTCAAATTCTTCAAATGGAAAGTATCTCAAATTTCATCATTTTATTTACCTTTAACATACACTGGATCTTTGGCATGTCAGTAGCATTCCTTCAAGGACCTTTGCCAGACCAATTCTAGTTTTCCAAATACCTGTACAATTACTTCAACACCTGTCTTCCCTTCTATTCCCTAACCTGTTTTTAACATATCTCTTAATCCAACTCCACTTCTAACTATTCATTCAGCTTCTCTTTTTCTCCACTGACATTCTTTGTTCATCTATAACATACTATGATTCCATTTAAGTACATGCTTTCAAACATCAAAAAAAGAGCAATTTTTTTTATATAACAAGGGGACAAAAAAGCTGTCAGAACAGCATATGCTATTGTGTTCAGCAGTAAACAACCTCTGCATAACTGCTAATGTATCTCAAGACAACATACTTTATTTTGTTTTCTGAAATTTTCATTTTTCAAAGAGAATATAATTGAAAACCCTATGGATTACAGAGGCAGAAAGTGAGTTTAAATCAATGGCTCTTTACAAAACATGCTTGTGAAAGCAAAATGAACAAATAGGAAGCAATTAGAAAACTAAGATAGAGGCCAGGCGTGGTGGTGCATGCCTTTAATCCCAGCACTTGGGAGGCAGAGGCAGGCGGATCTTTGTGAGTTTGAGGCCAGCCTGGTCTACATAGTGAGTTCCAGGACAGCTGGGGCTACAAGGAGACTAAGATAGAAGATAAAGGACATTAAAATTGTTTTGCCATCACTAAATAGCAACATATACATGCTTTTAAAAAAAAATTACTAAACTCTTAAAGCACTCCGATGTTAGTCAACATTTTGCATATAAATTAAACACTAGCTCCTTGGGATATCTACCAAGTCATTTTTCAAATGTGTCATGTTCTCGAGGAGCTCACACTTGGGCTTTACTTCATGTAAATCTCAAATTATGGTATAGTAGGAAACACCCTCCCCCCAAAAAAAGAGCGTGGAAAAAGAATGACAGGTACATAGTAAGTAAATACAGCAGGCTTTTCTTGTGAAGAAGCAGACAGTTCTAAGAAGAGGCAGTGGCAAGTCTGCCATGATGGAAAACAGATGAAGCTTAGCAGCAGGGAAGGTGCCCTAAGAAGGCCTGACAGTTCCTTAAATTTTAGTAGTTTGTGTTGATATTAATGACTAGTTAATACTGATTATTTGTTCTTTAATAAAGCCATAATTTTGGTAGGAAAATACAAGTATTCTACATATCACTCATTCAACAAATGATATGTTAGAATAAAACAAGACTTAACAGCTGAATTGAGAGAGCTTATAGACTAGCTATAAAAACCAGAAAATTAAAAATAAATCAGCTGGGCATGGTAGCACACACTTAAAATCCCAACACTGGGAGGAAAGGGAGGGGAACACAGAGACAGGAACATGGCAAAAGGGGTTCAAAACTATCCTCTCTCTAAAGAGAGAGAGAGAGAAGGGGGAGCAAAAAGTTGCTTGTAGTATGATGAGGGTCTCAATAGTGAAAGAGGATTATAGTGACAAGGAGTAGTGCTTCAGGCAGCCACAAAATGAGAATGAGCATTATAAGTGAGAAGAACTGCAAACTATTCAGTGTTGTGACAATAAAACTGCAGTAAATTGAACTGCATAGCAAGACAGTCTTTATTGTCCATTTTTACTTGTTCGGGTAAAATATGGGCCAGGACATGTAATTGGTATAACACAAAAATTGGAGACTCAATTTCAAACTTTTATGGCAATGATTTATTTTTTAATAATAATAATAATCATAATAAATAACAACAATAAGAGATAAAGCTAAAGAGAGCCAATTCAGGTCTGAACTTTGGCCTAGGGCATAGGTATCAATCTTCAGAAGCTTTTTCAAAGCAAAGTAGTGGCATGAACCAACATCTATTTTAAAAATTAAGGTACATTTTACCCAACATAAAATTAACTACTCCAAAAAGTCAAAGACATTTACTACATTTGTTATGGTGTATAACCCCAAACAGAAACCTACTTAGGCTATAAATCCTATACACTCCTCCTACCGTGTCTGAGTCCCTGGTAAACAACTATCTCTGTATCAGATAACATGACTATGCCTGACTCCTTTTCATATACCATGGCCAAAATAAAGGTCCATCTACACTGTAGCATGTATCAGTACTTTATTCTTTCTGATGCAGCTAAGCAATAAATAGTCCATTATACGTGTCACAACTTATATATCCATTCATTTACTGATGGACATTTGGGTCATCTTTTAGCTATTGTGAATAGTGCTTCTATGAATATTAATGCACAATTTTTGTCAGAATACATATTTTTACTTCACTGGGGCATATATGTAGGAGTGGAATTGCTGGGTTTATATGTTTAAATATATGCTTAACTTTTTGAGTAACTGCCAAAGTGCTTTCTATAGCAGTTACCCTA